CGTCCCCCATCAGTCACTCAGTTCCTCCTCTCAGTGGCGTGGCTATACCGCGGCCCTGCTGGGAGCCACTTCTTCCTGGGCGTGATGAGCCCGTGGCTCCACCTCCAGCCTTGGTGTGCTCTATTCCACCTCTATCTGTCGCCCTAACTCCTACGCCTGGGCTCTTTCCTCCCATGACTCCAGAGTGGACCATCGGGCATTTGGCCTCGCCGGGCTCCCTCGGACCATCGGCTCCACCTGGGTCGGTTGTAAAGCGTAGCATTCCAGCTTTGTGAATATTCATAGCGAATTCTTGATGGCATGAGCCTGAACCAGTGATGTGATGATCAAACCCATGCTGATGTAAACAAAACGATTGTGCTGATTGACGCATCCGTGAAATTGGAGATAGTGAAATAAAAATAAGTTGTTTTTGAAAATTTGCTCATTGTGGCTCATTTTGCCAGCACAGGTCACATATAGATGAATAAAAAAATTCTGGATGGATAAATAGAAAGCTCAAAAGACCTTATTTAAAAGCAGAACTTTAAAATGTAATAAAAAACAATTCTAATAAATGTAAAAATAATTAAAAACGTTTTTTTAATTATTAATTAAAATGCATAATTGTCAACAGATTTTTTTCCAGCAGGTTTTCACAAACCTTGAGACAAGGATTTTTTTTTTTGTGGTAATCTACTGTCTGTACACACTAAAAAGTCAAAGTGATACTTTACATTATAGAAAGTGATACTCAATATTTTGTACCCATTTCACATAAACCATCCATAAACTGTTTGACGAGGAAAATTACTATACACTATACCAGGGGTAGGCAAGTTCGGTCCTAGAGAGCCGCAGTCCTGCAGAGTTCAGACTAAAAACGTTTTGTATGCATGAACTACAAATGACTTGCTTTTTTTATTAATCGATGTAAAATATCAGCCCTTCATCTTATGTTCTCACATAACAGTAGCTCCATTCATATTTATGCAAACATGACAAGCACTTCAGGCTCATTCTAGAGATGTCACGTTCTGTGCGGAGGCGAGACCACCCTCTGCATTTGATTCATTAGAAAAATTAATGCCCCTTGGCACATGGGCGTCGTCAACATTTCGGAAATGCCTCAAACACCCACTCTATGTGTTTGTGTTGGTGGGGACACAGAGAGTCATTTTGCGTTACTGGCCAAAATGCTTCAAAACGGTATATAAAACTCTGGTCAACTGATTTGACCCCTTGTTGACAGCTGACCCTTTTGTCTGACACAATAGAAAGTCTGTCCGAAAAGAAAAATGAATGAAATCTCAAAGATAGGTCCATGGTAACACGCTAGTTCTCAGCCCGATCAAAAGCTAATGTTACGCTAATATTAATTAAACTTCATTTAACTTTTTGCGCTCTAGCAGTTAATAAACAAAATGGCATGCATCTTGAGGAAGAACACTGCAGCCGCATATGTTATGATATATTCTCAGTCAGGTTTTCTTCTGATTCTTAGTTGAAGGACAACAGAGAGTCTTCAGAAATACTCTGAGTTTCTGAGCCTTGGTGCTCAAGTAGAAAACGCAGGTTTGAATCTGCTTGCAACAATTCTGAGTCCTGTATCCCCCTTTCTTCCTGTCATATGTCTCACCCTAGCCATCCATTAAAAGTTAAAAGTGTTAAATACTGGTTTGTAATACAAGCAATATATATATATAAATTCAAAATTTGTCTGTAATATTTTCTTACATTGTGGGTCATAAATATTTACACAGATCTGAGCAATGTAACAAAAAGTTTGTGACCTTCTGCAGTAGCTTGTTTCACCAATTCCATCCCAATCACCTCTGAATATGATGCATTATACTGGAAATACAAAATCTGCACTTGAACCGACCAAAGTAAAGAAGGGTACTGCAGAGTCTAATTGAATAACCCAGAGATGCTGAGAGTTTGATATAAGAAGCACTGTCCTCACATTATCACCATATCCTGTGCCTGCAACATGATGGCCACCAAAGCCTTTCAAGTGGCACTGTGTTTAGAAAATGAGTAAACACAGAAACACAGACGCACACTTGCATCTAAATATGTTTAAACTGCAGTTGATGGCACTATGGGGTGTAACTCCATGAATCCAAGCTGTGAGTTTTTTATATGAGAAATACAACAACAGAACTCATTTAAGCTGTGTTTTGAGCAGGGGGATATAGGATTGAATGGTCTAGGCACAGATCCTAACAAACCACATGAGACAATGTGTGAATGAATGAGATATGACAAATTAATCCATTCTGGGGTGGATGTTATGCAATTTATATAATGGAGGAAAGAGAAAGAGAGAAAATGTGTGTGTGTGTGTGTGTGTGTGTGTGTGTGTGTGAGGTCACATTCTTGTTTTGACCGATAGTGACATTCAGTACATATTTACAGTATGTATTTGTTCTGAAAATAAAAAAATCAAGACATATTTTCCACACAGATTTTTCTTGATAAATCTAAAGATCATACTTAGTTTTTATGCACCAAAATAACCACAAACAACATTTACCTACATACAGTTGTGTTCAAAAGTTTTTTTCTTTTCTTTAATGGCTGCTGAAAATTCAGCTTTGTCATAAAAGGAATAAATTAAATTTTTTAATATATTACAGTATAAATCATTTTTCACAATATTACTCTTTTACTGTATTTTTTTTATCAAAAAATGCAGCCTTGAGTGTGTGAGGTCACATTCTTGTTTTGACCGATAGTGACAGAACAGGGAAGAGGAAAAAAAGTTTGTTGAAAACAAAAATGCATGACCAGGCTGAATGATGAAGCTAAAAATTATATCTCAATA